TTTTTAAGCAGCGCTTCATTTCAAGGTTAAAAGCCGAATTTGACTTTTTCAAAATAAGTAATAAATTACAGGTTTTTATCAATAAGTGGGCTATATGCGATGCGTTATGTACTGTGCACAATGACGAGCTTGCTGTTTGCTTCGAAGTACGATTGTAGTCTGCTACAAGTTAATATTCCTGGACCAGTCTGTTGTATTGGTATTGTTTTCACGGGTAAGGTCGTCACAGTTGAGAAGACCCATAGGTGCTGGTGTAACCGGCTTTAAGTTGGCTTCGTGTGGTGACATACTTTATGTATATCACGTTGATTTTCACTTCAAGTTTTGGTCGGTTTCTATAAACACCAAGCTTCCAGTTAGCTACGTTGGGTGGCCTGAGTACGCTCCGCCACGTCGTGTCACGGGTGACTGTCAAATCTCAAATAAAGTATTGTTTTTTCACACACTGAACCCGCCTACTGTCATTTTAAATCATGTCCACTTTTCATCACGAATAAATCAACTGGTAGTATTATCACGTAGTTTTTAAACTTTGTTGTGTGTTTTATTTCTGTTTTGGGACTGGTAGGGGGGATCATAACTCCTTGTGGTGAGAACCAGTGAGACTGGCCTACTTGCAGGGTTCCAAAGCTTAACGTTGTACGTTTTATTGCTTTCATTTACGTTACTTGTCCTTGTCAAACTGCTTATTAAAAATCACTACTACTACTACTACTACTACTACTATAACTAAAGATAATCACAAATCTCATAATAACAATCCTATAAATTATATCTTACTATTTCAGTTGCCATACCTTCTAATCCTATGATATCTGATGCCAGATCAGACCATACTACTGGTGCTACTGTTATTGTTACATCTGGTAATTCATATACGTTTACATGTACTGCTGGTGAATCTAGACCTGAACCAACTATAACATGGTATTTAGGAAGTACTGAAAAGACTGCAAATCAACCTACTATAATACGAAATGGGAAGCTGTCAACAGTAGTAAGGCTAATGACATTTACTCCTCAGTGGACTGATCATGATGAGCAATTACAATGTAGAGCTGACAATGACGTCACACCTCAATATAAACACACGCATATTATGCTTGATGTTTATGGTAAATATCATTTCTATTAATGTACATGTTTCTAACAATACATACATACATACATACATACAGACATAAATGAAATTCGACATTTATTATGCTATATGAACATTAGCATATGAGAGTTTTTCTACGGATGTTAGCAAATTTAATGTTTTTTTAATAAATCTATTTGTATTCATTTTAAAATCTATATGCACCTGTCACAATAAAAGATTATAATACTACTAGTAATTGTACTAATACGTACAAACCAAGTCACCTGCTTTGAATATATAAAGTAAATATCATCAACTGAATGCAAACGATCACATAGGCATAATTATAATTTATCTCTTCTATAACTTTAGATGTACATGTATATATCATTAATTTGCTGCGAGAAGGCAAATTTATTCATGATAATATTGTCCACTTGAGTGCATGAATGCAACATATATATTCTGGCACTGTTTACCTTCTGTTTTTAAAATTATTCTTTTAACCTAGAACTAACGACACAATATTGGTTTAGTTTTTGTAAGATATTGTGTTTGTACTTTCAGATTATTAGTAATATTGTATACTTGTAGATGATTCCTAATTCATTCGATCACAGTTGTTTGCACCTTATAACACCGAATTGTATATTTCACTTTATCTTAGTGGGTCCTACAAAACCTACAATAAGTGGATCCAATATCATAACAGCTGGTACAAGTGTTACATTTACATGTTCTACTACATCAAGACCAGAATCTACATTGACATGGTACATCAATAATAGACCACAGTCAACAAACAACAATACACCACAGAACAGCAATGGGTTGATAATTACCAGTAGTGATCTGATGTTTACACCTAATTTGGACAACCACGATGGAAAGAAATTGAAATGTAAAGCTGACAATGAAGCAGATACATCAGCAAAAGAAAGAGAAATAACATTGGAAGTACAAGGTATGGTAGTATTATAAACAATATCAATAGGTTCTTGTCAATTTAAATTTCGCTTCATCTTACCTTATATTAATATTGTGTAAATCGAACTAGCTTTTATTTTGATTTCATTACAGTGATCCCATTCAACATAGAAATATCATCAGCCTCCACTGGTAAACTTATTGTATACAATAATATAGAGTCCACAATCACATGTACATCTATTGGTGGTAAACCAGCAGCTACTATACAATGGTATATCAATAACAGTCCCACTACACATGATAATGTACAGACACCAGACAACCAGCAAGATAATAGATTAAAAGACACCATAAGTACACTTGTATTGACACCAACTTACACAGAACATCACAACAAAACATTAAAATGTGAAGCAACAAATGATGCAATAGACAGAGATCAACCAATCAATGAAGAGGTCGTATTAGATGTGTGGAGTAAGTTTATTGGGTTGATCATATTTTTTTTCAAATAATAAAAATGAAACTGATGAGTCTGTAAACAATATACTAGACCGAAGATAATATACGACAAAAATAAAAAGTAAAACATCTTGTAATATAAATGCTGATAACGGTCTTATGTTTAGTTTATAAACCATATACCATATACCATAATATATAACAAGAAACAAATCACCTTGTAATTCAAATGATGATAACAGTATTATAGTATACCAGAACTTATGGGGAAAAGCATGAAGGATATAATATAAGTTATTTTACTTAAATTTGACAATGACCTAACTATTACATGTAATATTTATTTCAGTTTCCCCAAACAAAGTGAACATTGATGGTTATTCTACAGATGACAATGTAACCATGGCAGCAGGTGTAGAATATCAACTAGATTGTACTGCTAGTAAAGCACATCCACCTGCTAGTATAGAGTGGTATAAGGACGATGTTGATATTACAACTGGTAGCAATAGCAGAATATTATGGGATAGTGATGGTAAAAAGGACACAATAAGTAAATTATCAATTACACCAATAAAAGAAGATTTTGGAAAAAGAATCAGATGTGAAAGTAAACATGATGCACAGTCTATAACACAACATACATTTGTTAATATGATTGTACAGTGTAAGTATTTATTGATTTTTTGGTACAATTAGCTATGCACTCCTACTACGTGTTTTAACAACCTTACATCACTAAACATTAACAAATAACATAAGTCCTTTGTGTGTCTGCAGTCACTTTAGTGTCTGCAGTCACGTTCCAACAACAGATGTGTATAAAAATATTATACATCAACTTGCCTCGGTGAAATCATCCCATTAAAAAACAGTTATACCGTAAACCACAAATTTAGAAATAAATATAATTTGTAGCAGTGATAAGTTAATCTTTAAGACAGACACAGTGATTATGACGAAGGATTGCATTATCGTTCTCGTGTATGTAGCGAGTCCCGTAAATGAACTTGGATTATATTTTCTTGCAAGTTTCCTATCTGTTCTTAGATGTTCTAATTTGACACAATTACATAAATAATGTCTTCAGCTAGTGAGAGATCTTAAAATTAAAAAAAAATAACGGACTGGGAATATGTTTAGCAGGCCCATGCTAATGTTGTTTAAATTTGGTGTGATTTCAAAATAATTTTTTGACTACTAATGTGTAAATAAGAATGTCTCGGACATTCATGTACCTCAATAGGTTTTGTTCAAACGAGGTTCAAATGCAAGATATAGTTATATGAATGTGTAGAACTGTTTTTTATGACACAATTAAATTAAGAAATAGAGTATGATATCAGCATATATTGACACTGTTAAATATGTAGTATTTATAATTTATTTTATTTTCACATATTATCCACCTTGTTTGTATAAACATCTGCATTAATAACTTTAAATTGATAAAAGATTGGAGCTTGGCTGGTCATTTCAAAATACACTAAATGCACTTGACTGAACCAAAGAACGTATAGCGACTTAAGTTTTTAAGCTAATGTATTTCACAATCATAGATTCTGCTGTAATTTTCAATGACACATTGGATGAAAGTTCAGCAGATCAAGGTCAGAATGCTACCATTATGTGTACATCTATGGGATATCCAATACCAGATATAAAGTGGTACACATGGACTTACGGTAGTAAAGTGGAACTTATGAGTGATACGACCAGAGTTGTGATAATACATGAACCATATGGAGTTACTAAAACGATACAAAGTACACTGTATATACAGAACGTGATACCTGAAGTAGACTATGGTGTATATACATGTCATGCTAGTAATATTATTGGTAGTGATAACTACAATATTACACTAGCCGGGAGAAGTAAGTATTGTTATTAAATATTCAATATTTGTCAATTTACGTAACTGAATCTTAATTGCAGTGTCAGGTTGTTGATTTCAATACAATTGTAACTGGTGGTAGTGCAGTAGAACTTATGAGTGATATGAGCAGAGTTGTTATAAAACATGAACTATATACAGTTAATAGATTAATACAAAGCACACTGTATATACTGAACGTGAATCCTGAAATAAACTATGGTATATATACATGTCATGCTGGTAATAGTATTTGTAGTGATTATTTCAATATTACACTGTCTGGGAAAAGTAAGTAGTGTTATTAAATACACTTTGTCAATCTGACCCTACTTAATACATTACTAAACCATAATTGTAGTATCAATATGAGGCTGTAAGATTAGGCTTATCACACTGTTAATGTATATTATAACACTATGTTTATTTGTAGGAGAACCAGGGCCACCCACCAATGTGAGAACAACGGGTATATCTTGGGACTCTGTCAATATTACATGGGATATGGGATATAACGGTGGATCATCACAATGGTTTTATGTGTCATACAGACAGATAAAAATCAATGATTTCATCAGATCAAATAAAGTTGAAATGCCACCTTATCACATCGATGGCTTGAATTCATCTACTGAATATGAAATATATGTAACAGCTGAGAATGTGATAGCCTGGAGTAAACCAAGTAAGACTATCATATTTAAAACTACAGGTAAGAAAAGTCCATTTAGCAAGTATATATTCGTGACAGATAATACATGTACAATCCACGATTCAATTGTATGACAAAGAAATTATAAGGCAAAAGAGATGAAATTGATTTCACCACCATCATCTATATTTTCTAGTATTGCAGTTTTCTGTGCTTTGTATTTGCGCCAAAACCCATTGATATGGTTGATCATTTGACACTTCTTTATATGATTCTTGATATGAACATGCCTATATTTATAGTTAGAGTATTCGTGTTTTGGTACATATATCAATTATTTTCTGTGCGATGGCCATCCACTACGTCCGCGCCTTTTAATAAGTTAAACGACGTCGTACAGGAGCGTGTTATCCCCGTTTTTATCGATGTGTATATGGAGGGATCTAGCTTAGTAGAAAGACAGGTTTGTTGTTATTTGGGCGGTATGTTTATGAAGCACCTACTATTGGTGGGCGACATTCTGGTTGATGAATGTTGCATGTCAGTTTGCATTTCTATATTTCCACCATAATGTAGGATTCAGCGTATTCCAAATGGATCTGCAGTAAAATTTGTAAAGAACTACTCATATTTGCGTGTTGTTATAAACAAACGTAATGAAGTTTCTGAATCGCAGATTTTCCCAATGTTTTCAAACTACAGCTTTTTCAAATTAATTGTGTTTGTATGTCATAAAATAATGCACTCAGAATGTTGCTTAACCTTGGACACAATACCAGTATAACTCAAACCTATTTTTATAATCGAATTTATTCTTTTGAGGCGAGGAGATGGAAAGCCATGGTTAATGTCTACTTAAGAGCTATGACTAGTAGCAATACGTTGATTGCATTTTTATTAAGTCCAAACGTAGTGAGATTCAGCAGTACTGTTTATAGTTGGTTGGAGAATGTTTTTAATCATTGTTGTATCTGTAATTATTTATTCACTGCTTTGACGGTGTACTTTGCTTTCTCTTCATATTGTGTATACATTTTCGTTTGGCTAGATAGTTCACTGTATATGCAAACGTGTAAAGGTAGTTCGCCCCAATTATATTGTTATTGGTATGTGGAATGTGTTTTGTACTTGCTATACCAGTGCTTCTTATTATGCCTGTATTGCCATCAGAATTGTCAAAGTTTAACAGCTCATATCTAAATTATTTTGAAAAGACATATTATACAATACTACATGTCCTTGACCACACTAATTCATTCGTTCATACTACCTCATTCTAGATAAGCAAATTATATATGCATAGTTTATGATTGGTAATAACTTCGAGTAAATTAATACTGTTCTTGTCATTTTTTTAAAATAACAGCACCCATCGGCAATGAACACTTGCCTGAAAACGTCTCAACCAATCCTGGTGTTTACATTGGCCCTTTGGTTGGAATAGTTGCAGTAATTGCAGTAATTTCTTCAGTGGGTATAATACTCATGAGAAGAAAGGAGAAACGGAATAATGGTGAATATATATATATCACTGCAATATTTGAAACACAGCGATGGAATTATTTAATATAGACATATATAGCATACGTTTTACAATACACGCCCTTTGTCGAAAATTACTGTACATGTACAACTTATTAACGACAGTAAGTGTATTTCAATATTTGTCAGACACTATGGTACGAGGAAGACATCACCATGAATTGCCGGAGAGAACTTCAACAGGTAAATTAGAAATCAATGGGTTATTTAAACGATTGCATTGGATCTCAGTAAAACGGAATGCCTTCATTATATATGGTTAAATGACCTATACGTGTTGCAGGACATTTACAGATTATATTGCAGCTGATTTAAACTAGTTGTCCCAGAAGATGCATGCAGTGAAACCTACTGGAAACAACACGCGTAATCTTGGTCTAACTTTGTGTGACACGTGTATTACATACACTCAATGTGAAACATGCAATCTATGTTTTCATCATTACGTTTAGTTAATCATGTTTGATTCAATAACTAATTTAGAATGTCTTAAATATGTCGGAAACAAAATAAGCGTGCACACCCGTTGATTTGCGGTTTGGGTGTACCTGTCTGATTAATATAATGTATTGTTGGACACATAGTTGGATTATATGTTCTGAATATGCTTGCAAAGTTTAATTATCAACCTCCATAAACCTCCATGTCTCTGCTTGATTGCTCTTTTTTAATCATGAAATATACACTAAATCACGCCGTGAGTTTTTTTGTGCATGCAGTAAATAAATAAATAGTAAATAAATAAATCGCACAGTAAAAATATTTTCTTAATTTGAAAATTCCTCGAATACATATATCATGTGTATCATTATGTATACTGCCGTGTATGCGCGAATTTAAGTTGTTCGTCATATATGTGACTTAGTTTACATACATCTGTTATTTGATTATATTAGGTAATGAGAGCAACCACATAATAAACACCTAAATAAACATGGTAAGCCATATATTCGCGTTGTGTATTTTAGGTTATGGAAATAGTACAATACCTACGGACTCAGATATCAATGTGCCTACCTACGAGAATGTTAGGCCGAAAATATTAAAAAAGGTAAAATATTTAAATTGTTATTTTTTATTCAATCTTACTATAAGAAAGTTATGAACAAACGAGATATGCAACAACGTACTGTACCACCAACAGGAAATATATTAAATAATTATGTTTGCTTTTGTAATGGCCTACTAACGATGACAGTGTGTACGCCTCGCTTAACCACGATGGAAAAGAAAATATTTACATGAAAGCAGGACAAAAACTATTAGAATTTCGAAGAAAT